ACAGTGCAATCTGTATAAAATAAGCAATGAAAAGAGACAGACTGAAAAAAAAAAGAAAAAAAAAGGTAGAAATACAGAGATTTCAGATGGAAGCTACCTAAGATGTATTTCCTGGTTTTAATTGACAAAATCACCATCTTAAGTCTTCTTTCAAATACCAGTGTTGGACACATAACAGACACGAGTATCTGGAGTTGCAATTATATCTTATTTTGGAAAACCTTAATTTTCTCAACAGTCCTTTACTGCTAAAAGAAGGCAGGATATTATTTTAACGCCTTTGGAGTTTATTGTTTATTTTTACTTCTACATAGACCCTATTGCTGGGTTTTGTGACTATGTTTCCTTGCAAAGTCATAACCTTTTACTCTGGCAATTGCCACTGGGAAAAATGCACTGTGGAGTGCTCCATAGCACCATATTGTAGCACTGAGAAACCAGGCACTTTCCTGCCACAGCACTCCTCTAATTCTGACTTTCTTCTCCTGTTAGGAAACAACTCTCAGAAAAGAAACTCTTGAACTCATACATTAAACTGGGAACTTGGTTTTGCTGTGTGGCAAATCTTTATATCGTATATGACACTTGGTTTCAAACTGAGCTGGCTTTTAAAGATTTTTATTCTGGGTTGAAGAGATGTTATATAGCCACTACAAAGAAAATATTAGCTCTGACTTGTGCATTGATAAAAAAAAATATATATTTTCATGACTATTTATTAGACAAACTACAATACAGAAACTTGTAGGAAAAAGCTTATTCTCTATACTATTAGCAATTCAGTGTTAATTGAAGGCTTAAAAATTAAGCAAAACTCGGGAATTAAAAAAACCCAACCTCACAAACTTTCCTCTTTGCAAGCATTTATCTGAATTTATCAGGAGATTTAACTTTAAATAGATAATTTCAGGGGTTTGTGTTGTCCAGACAACAACAAAGGGAGTTAATCAAATATGAATCTTCTCCAACTGTCTTGTCAAACCAGGTAATGATGTCCTGCCAGCCAAACTCAGAGGGAACATGTGAAACAAATACAAAAGTAAACAGGCCTTAAGCTGCCCAAGGGAAAGTCAGCAAGATGGCAATTTCAATCATTTGGAATAATACTAAAGCAGCCTTAGGCTTTTCTCAGAATGGAAACATGTCACTGTTACTGCAATATTTGAACAAATCAGACTGCAAAAGAAAGGAACACTTATGTAATCGCAGCCATGGAACAGTGCTTTACTCATGGTGAGGTGGAAAATAATTAAGGAAAATGCCCTTTTTGCCAGTAATTGTAAATGTACCTAAATAAGAAAGATAAACAATGGTTCCTTAGAAATTTGGAGGAGAGAAAACACCAAATTTAGGCACAGATTTCTTTAGTTTTGACACAGGAGGCTTCGGAACAACAAAGAGAAAGTTCTATCAGATAAAACTACGAACATAACGCTCCTACAAAATTTATCAGATGTTGATAAAAGCTACACTGAGAGCTACAAAGAAAGCAAAAAGCACTTGGAGAACAATTCTGCCAAAAAAGTTTCACTAAGACGAACGTGTTGTCATATCGTCTAACTGAGAAATCAAAAAATATTTCAAATATTTGGGGAACTTACCTAATCAGTAAACTTTCAGTATGTGTCTAGTCATGTAGCCATCTTTTAGTCAATCATCAGAAAATCAAAGGCAAATTGGCATGACTCAACCCAAACTTTAATACCGCATGATTGTGTCGTGTAAGCTTGTTTTGTGCGAGGGCTGCTGTGGTTTTAGCAGAGAGATTAACGACCGGACCTAAGCTGGCCTCCAAACCTTGCCCTGCTGATGCCTCAAGCCCTTTGAAGTCTGACCATCATACCTGGCAAAACAACAGTGGGAACTAGGCTGGTGTCAGATCTAATCAAGTTTCCTGCCTCAGCATAGCTAACTATGGGGTACACTAATTGGCCCAATTGCGGATTATACCTTTTGCTACAGATTCAAGACAATAATTTAGTCAAATGATGGTTTTTATCTCCTTCTAATTAAGATTCCAAAGTGGGAAGAAATAGGATTAGACAGGCTAACTTCAAAATTGTGTCCTTTAAAGTGGTATGCACATAAGATAGATCTCTGATAATATAGCATGTAATAGTATATTGCTGGTAACCAACGTGTGAAGATTTGGGAAAGCTTGATATAGCTACTGCACCTTTCAGGATAAACACATAAGCTTTCCTGGAAAAGTTCTGCTTCACAATTTATAAATGGAAAATGAACACTCATAAATATTCACCAAAAACCTGTTTTCACCCTGAATTAAAAAAAAAAAAAAAAATCCCTTTAGAAAATATTTCAGTCAATCTTATTTTGATGAAGAATATATGAGAAAAACTGAAACAGTTAAATGGTTCTGCAGACTATAAAGAGGCAGAGTCCCTCCCACAGAACTGCAATCTAATAAAATGGATTTGACATTTAAAGTTTTTCCCCTATGAGGGTCAAACTATAAAGAGTTATTTAACTGGTGAGCAATCCAGAGATGAGAAAATCCATGTCCCATGCTCTTATTTTAAACTGCAAAAAAAAAAAAAAGAATGGTCTAGTGATGAAAACCCTTTTTGAAGAAATTTTGCCATTATTTACAGGTTTTGTACTCCTAACTTTTCTTATGTAATTTGATTTTGAAGTGGCATTTCAAGTACAGGTCAGTATTTTTACCCTAAATTGTGTACATAACTAAGCAGAATCTTTCCAAAAACTTTAAGGTACTAAATATACATTTTCATCTCACATTTAAACTCCATACTAAAGAAGTCACAGACTTAGTTGTAACTGTTGCTTGCAATGCACACTGTTGTGCTGCTTTACGTTTTTACCCCCAGAACCAAAAGTGACTGCTGATACATCACATTCTAACTCCAGAAACACATTTTAGAAGACTGTATCCACATCCTTTCTTAATTCAGCTTTCCCTTGCTCGCATTTTCTTATTGGCCTTATTGCTCTAGCCAGCCTGGCTGTAGTCTGCTTTCCCTATGTATGTATGAGGAAGAAAAACATATGTACTATAGATTAGTGAAACGTGTACAGGAAGATCACAGTAGGACAGTGATCTAACATGTTCAAAAAGGGCTAGTTTGTGTCAGTTCAGCTTACAGAAAGCATATCTCCAACAAAAGCTGAAGTTATTCAAAAGGGGCTGCAGCTGAGCAACGGAGGGAGAAATTATACAAGTGTGTCATCCACGCATGTCTGGGGCAACAGGTTGTTTCAGGAGTTCCACCACGCTCCTGTTCCCAATGCCCCATGGCTAATTCAATTCTTTTTACAGAGCTTCCTGCTAAGGGTTTGTTTTTTTTTTTCTTCCAAATTACATTACAAATTAGAATCTCGAATTCGTCTGACGGAAAAAATTGTACTCTGAGTTAGGATTCGTAGTGAGGAAAAAACCCCAAATATCCTAATTCGTAGTTACAATAAATGAGAATTTACTATGCTGTGAAATGAGGGTGCACGCTTCTCTGCACTTCTGAAAACAGTAAGAACATTTGTATTTTAAAACCAAACACAGACTATTAAGGGTTTTGTTCCTACTGTACCGCTCAAAAGCAGCTGTTAAAAGGCTTTAATACCTCACAAAGCCTGGTTTCACTAACCACATTCTCTGGGAAGTGACAAACATTATAAAGGAATTGTCTTGGGGAAAAAAGCCCTCCTTCATGTATTTGCCTTTAAGTGGCTTCTGAAGAGGATACCTCTAGTTGAGAAACTTCTAGCACTCATGCAGAGATGACCTGCCTGAAGAACTGGCTGCCTGATTAACTATTAACTACTCTCAATAGGATTAGATAATTAAAGACATTGATGACCATTAATTAGGAGGAGGGCACCTTAATTTGTCACTTGATAGGGCCCTTTCAATGATTTATAGGTTAGGGCTACTTGCAATTGTGAAGGGAAGGGGGCAGTGAAGAGAGAGAACCCTTAAGTTACCTTATCAAGTGGCCAGCTAAAAAGGGCAGAGGGTCAAATAAGGGCCAAAGTGGTCACTTAAGGGTGAAGTCCCAAACACCAAAGCAGTGCCAAGCCACATTGACCAGCATTTGGTGATGGAGTAAAAAATATGCTAATTTATTGGTGGCAATTCTCTCTTTTTATGGTTTCAAGCAGTTAAGACAAGTGGCCTGCTTAAGAGCTTTTCATTTGAAAAGAGATTAAACAAAATGGTTTGTCAGGGATGCTTGGCTGTTTTATGTCTTTGTTAAAAAAAAAATTTGCCCAGACTGTACCAATGACTATCACATCACCCCAAAAGCCATCTTCCATCTCTAAGCATTAATGGGTTAATAAATACATCAGCTCTAATTGCTTAATAGTGCTATGTTCATTTGCTCTTTAGCAAGATTAAAATGAAATACATCTTTTGTATTACTGCCTTCTATCAGGACTGTCTGCATAAAGGTCACAGAAAAAAGTTTAAATTTAGTAGGAAATTTACTTAAGGACATTAGTGTAAATGATACTGTGTTTAAAATGACATAAAAGAGCGAAAGGTGATTTCAGTAATGCAAAGAAAATGGTTTCTGAATACTGATAAGGACACTTATCCCTCATACCACACACAATTTTAGGCAACATTATACATTAAAATCCCTCTACTGGGGTAATAACATGTAGCTACTTTCCCACCCACTAACACAAGTAAGAGCAAGTCATTAACATTTAATTAAATATGCTCCTGACATCCTTAGAAACATGTCACGCTTTGTTATTGAAGGTTGTGGCCTACTTTCTATGTACATTTTAAACCAAAATAAACTATTTATAACAGACCGATTTAGCGCAGCAAATGAGACATTTTTAATCAGAAGGCATATCACAGTATTTCATAAAACCCTCCTGAACAGCAAAACCAGAATGAAATGAATTTACAACATCTGATGCATATTTTATGCATTTCACAAAACGGAACATAAGAGACGGGATTAGCTCCACCTTTTGGGTTCTAAATAGTGAAACAACGTTTCTCTTACCTCAATGGTGAACAGCTTCCTTTTTAATCTAAAAGCCAGGTCCTTCGTGTCTGACACATCACAGATCAAGCTATTAAGCCGAGGAATCTGATGTACATGAACCAAACCTTGTGGAAAGAAAGAGTAAAGGAGGGGGGGGGCGAAAAAAAAAAATTAAGAAAACGCTGTCATCCAGATGCATAAATTAGAGTCTTACAGCAGAATTCTGTATATTTACACACACTCATCCTCCCCTTTTTAAGCTGGAGCTTTACTACCAGGAGCAATGAAGCAAACGGTGCGATTATACTCAAGTAATCAAGCAGAATAAGATAAACAGAAATCCTTGTGCGAGGAAAACTAATTGCACTTTGGTACAGAAGTACAGATGTAAAGAGCGATCTTAATACTTGTCAAAACTACAGCCGGCTTGTGTGTGATTTTCTCGTGTATTTACAGTAAGCAAATATGGCTATCACCTTGCATGCTGCCCACGGCACCACTGAGTGATCTTTATTTTATTAAATGCACCAGTAAGCAGCCAGCAAAACAAGGCTTATGGGTTACTGATAACCACTGAAGCTCTAATGAGAACTACTTCGTTTTTTGCCCTGGAAAAGGCTGGGAAAAAAAGTTTCTGGAACCCCCCCCCCCCCCCCTCCGATTTAGATCATGCTTTTTAATAAATTTTAACCCCTCTGCCATCCTGGGAGAAATATGTTTTCTTCCTGCAGGAGGCTTCTCTAGCTGTTCAGATGTTTTTAACAGTACTAGGTGCACTGCAAGCTCTGCATTCTGTCAGCTGCAACTCAAGCTGATTTTTTCTGACAAGGACGCTGGATGGTTTTTGTGCAGCCTAATATAGTCTCTGAACAACCTGAGGGTGATTTTCTGCATCTGAAAAACCAGGAAAATTCTACAGGGCTTCTCAATTACTGGCCTATATTTGCTATTCATAAAGCCAGCATCTAAATTGAAATACTGAATATTTAGAAAAGGCATCTTACTTGAAAACGGCAGCTGTGGGAAAATCCCCAAACATTAAAACCTTTATTTAAAATAAGGCCAGTATTTTTTCAGGCATCGATTAATTTGTTTTAACTGAAGTTTCCTAAAATTGAAATAATTTTAAAAGCATAATTTTATGGGCACTAATCACAAAAATTATTAATAATATTAGAAAAGCATTTTTATAATTTGAAACCTTCCATCCCTGCCTCCAGTCCAGTGATTCAGAAGAAATATTTGTTAGGTTTTTGAGTAGAAAATCCAATTATTATATATGGGAACAGCAGGTATAACACAGGGTTGCTTATATGCAGTATTGTAGAAATTTTATTTAAGGATCTTCTATATAATTATTTTGTTATTTTACTGGCTTTTCAAACATTTAAATTTCCAGGCAGCTTAATGAAATTATTAATGCAGGATTTATTAAATAATGCAATAACGTAATCAAACTTCTCCCGAATCACGTCAAAATCTTTCATCATCTGCAGTAAATAAATCATCTTAAAATATATTCTCAAGCAAAAAGAATCCACCAAAGTTAAAACCACTAGAAATACCTTTTTTTAGCCTGCCAAATCAAGGTTGTGTAAGCCTCAAAAGCTATGTATATTGGCACATAATTTTTATTAAATAGTACCAAAAATGATTTAGCATACATCTTTACAGGAAAGCAGGAAATAACTGCTAAAACACACATTGTCTTAAAGGATCTCTTCAGTACTGGGAAAAGGAGTATCAAATTGACAGAATTATGCTAGCATAAACAAAGGCCATATCACGATTATACAGTTGGAAAAATAATTAGGCAAATTATTCCAGCTTTTGTTCACGGTTTCTTTTTCATTCACCTTTTTTTCAGAGAATGAAATGTGCACTTATTTTCACAGCCAGAAAGATTTTTCTCTGATTTACTAATTACAGCCTGCATACACACCGTGGTGTCTCAACACCACCTTTGCTTCTTTTTCTATATATTCTATATATTCTGCTATGGAAAACACTGCCATACTCTCACATGTTTACAGCAGGTTTTGGATAAGCAGTTTACTTTCAGCTAAAGGTTTCCATGGAACTACAGTAGTATCACAATGATAATAGCTGTAATTTATGCACACTCCGAGCACTGCTCTGGATTAGCTAAAACTGTTATTCACCCCTTTGGCTCTGCATAACTTCTAATACAATCTTTTAAAATATAAACAGTTCTGCTGCAACAGCTAACAAAAATCTCTGGGAAACAGAATGCAAGATTAAACACCATTACAATATTTTGAAGATAAAACACTTGGAAGGCTACACGGCTTTTTACCAAAAACCAGTTTCATATTTTACATGCCACACATATTAATTTCTTTAAATGCACGAGTGCTGTAACTTTATCACTGAAAAACCAGCACGTTATTTTTAGACATAGCTTATATAGCACACAATTTAGCAGTTTATTCGCCTTACTATAATATATGGGTTTTTTTCCGTGTTCTCTGTTTAAAACTTGGCAGATCAAAAGTATTGATTTCATGACAAGTTCAGCTCGCTGGTCAGATGATTGCCAAGCCTCCTCTGCCTGTGAATTCCCCAAAGCCTGCCTGTTGAGATGTACATCTGATTGAGCCATGCCTCAGTAATACGGCTTGACAACATGCAAGGAGTTGCCATGTTTCCTTTGCAGCCTTAATGCACTTTGCTGAAAATTCTCCTAACTCCAGACTGGTTAGGCAAGGAGGAACATTTAAGAGGTATATTCTAAAACTGAAACCAAATGCTGCTTTATAGCAGATACCCAATTGGAGGGTAAGCCACTAAGTGCCCTAGAAACACCCAGGGCAGACTTTTTGCATTGCTAAAGATGGAACTTACCGTGGTAATCCTTGTACAATGGATTGGTTTCTCTCTCAGAGCCAATAAATGATTCAAGACCAACTACCATATCTGACAAGTTTGTTACACGTTCCATAATTGCTTTATTCTGTAAGACACGGAAACAAAATACGCATCCTATGTGATGAAAAAGGTAATTAATGTTCATAGGGTAAGCCTTGGTCTTCTCAATGGCAAGCTGTGGGGAAAAAATAGGTCATCAATACTTAGGAATTACGTTAGAGGGTTTTATTCCTTAAAAAAAAAAAAAGACTTGAAATTTCTGATTAAAGAAAACATGTATTTGACAAGAAGAAACCATAAAAGGGCTAACTTAGCACTACATTTGTATTTTCTTAAACCTTCATAAGAGAAGCATTTGCTCACATCAGTGATACTTAAAAAGCAATATGTTAAGCTTATCTCTCATTGACTTCCACTACGAGTCAGATGCCCAGTTTTTGCTTGTGTTCTGAAAACCTTGCTTTTTAATACACTTAGGCATATCATTTCTAGCATTTGGAGCAAGCACAACCCACACAATTATTCATTTTGGTCATCAGTCAAACAACATGGACAACTCAAGCAATTTCTCCAGCATTTTTCTTTCTAAAAGTTCCTCTTTACCTTTACAAATCTATCTCTTCGTGCAGCGTTATCCTTTCTCAATATATTCGTGATTTGTGATGCCTTATTTCTTGTGCAACAATGTACTGTCAGGTGCCTTAAATAAGCTGTTTTCCTTAATTTCATATAGCAGACAAAGACATTCAAAGGTCACAACAGAGATCTTCAGAGGTAGTTCAGAAAAAAATGTTCTTAAATGCTCTGATCATGTCCCTATTTAATGAGAAAAGAAAGAAGAAACAAACCTATGCTAAAACCCAAAATATTTCTTTAAGATAAGAAGTAGTTATCCTAAAGCTGCCTGGACAGCTGGTATACTCTTGTTCTTGGTGGCTGTAGGTGCTATACTCATCATACCTTCAGGGGTATCAAGACCAATCACCTCAAAATACCCATTCCAAGTATGAGGAATTAGCTCTGTACCTCCAAGTCATAGTTTTGTATTTTTCTATTAATTTAAAAGTATTTTGCACATTTTGCAGTTCTTTAGTAAACTATACAACTGATGCTTATTCCGAAATGTCAATGTAACTACTGGTAAAATTATTTGATAGTAACAATTTATCAATTAGGAGCAGAGAGGGGGAAATATCCCCAGATATGTCAGAATAGTCTATGCATTGCACTGACATTCAGGTTTATTAAAATGGTGATCAATACACCAACTGCTTTTCTGAACCCACATTTCAATATCCCTTTATCTTCCAGCCACACTAAAGCTCACAAAGCAGACGTGAAAGGTGAAAATTTCCCGCTCTCATCAAAGAATAAATTGAATTCTGTTTTCTGACCACTACATGAAGTTGTGGCCCGTCCTGCACAACCCAATCTGCTCAGGTTACAAGGCCCAATTCCACTGATCCCATGGCACCTTTACACCCCCTCCCTTCCCCACCTTATGGGCCAGATGGCATCAAATCCTGGGGAGGGGTCTCTTTTCAAAGCCGCTACTTGTGCACAGGCCAAAACCGTCTATCCCCGTGGAATCAGGGAACTTCCATTTGACCCACAAAGTCTGATGATGAATAACAATAAAGTAGTTTTATACTGCAGAATTTCCTTTCTGAGGAATAACATAAGTGATCTGAGGGAAAAGAACACTGCCTACACATCAATCCCTAGACTTTGTTATTATATCCGCCCCTGAAATATTAAAGCTGACTTGCAAACTGTTTCCTCTTCTTGGAAAAGAGAGACAATGTACTATATTTTAATGGAAACTTGTGGTCACATTTATTCTAAAGGGGAATCACATAAAGATGGTACAGATATAAATCTGAAGTAGTCAGTGACTTCTATAAATCCACAGACCAGAAATTACCGTATTTTGCCAGTTCTTCAGAAGGCTGCAGGATGTTATTTGTATATCAAGAAAGGCAAAACTGTTAAAAAAATAAATAAACACTGATGACTCCTGGAAACTAAGCTAAACTCTTCATAAAGAAAAAATGTTCCATCATTTGAAAAAAACATTTGCTGTCCATTCCTGTTTTGCTTTACATTAAAGTTTCTGCTTGCTGGTTTTGATAACAATGGGTTACGAAAACCGTGGATAGAAAGATGCTCGACCACCAGCAACGTATCCTCACCACTGATAGTCCTGCAAATCATAAGAATATCATCTTTCCTATTTGGTTTTAATTCTGGAAAGATTAAAGGGAGGGACAGCAGTTCAATATTTGCCTGACAATACATACTTCAGTATGTTGGTTTCAGCTCTTCCTCTGAAAGGGTTTGCTTTCTTAAATTGTGCTCCCTTTGCCCATGTTGATTTTGTTTTTGTTTTTAAAGTGTGTCAAAATATTCCCCTGGCTTAATGCAGGGTATCTTGGGAAATATTTTGCACAGTGAATTGCCACACCAAAGAGACATTTGCTTATGTGGCATTGTTGCCATAGATCTGTATCTATCATGTATTTTCTAGTTTGCAGCGTTCAGCACATTAATGTCCAATCAAAGCTGACGTCAGCACACAGATAGTTGTGATGTATGGCATACTGACATAAACACACAAATCATGTTGCCCCATCTGGGCTTGAAAATTTAACAGAGCTCCAGATCTTCCTCCAGCCCCATACAAATCTACCTCCTGCTTCTGGCATAAACTTGGCAGCTCTGGAGGTGAGCCAGGACATGGTTAGGAGGGAAGCCAGGAATGGCGAGATTCAGGGAAAGAGTTTGTTGGCAGCTAGAAGAGGTATTGTTTTAAATTATACTAAAAAATGAAAAAAAAAACCCAAACCATCCCAATCTTGGAAAGTTTTCAGTCTTGCTAGATGTACTGCAGTTTTTCTAAATTAGTTAGTTCAGCCAAAATATAATTATTCTAACAACATGGTAGCAACCCTGTTGTGCAGGCTGGGCTGGGCATCCATTCTATATCCTACTTTGTGCTACTGTTTTAGACAGACGTTTTCTTTTAAGTGCAAACTTGCAATATTTGGGCTCAACCGAAGTGTACTTTCAAAACATGTCAAGAAAATGATATGCATATGTACATGGGAACTATACACACATTTAACCAGCTTTTGGGGAGGGCAATTATGGAAAAAGATTCCTTTGTCCTACTAATTCATTTTCAGAATGTACATAGCTTTGAGTAATTATCTGTGCATGTCTAAAAATACTTATTTACAACTAAAGCAGTTCAAAATGCCTCATCTTCTGTGTTTGAGTATAAAGCACGGTGTTCTACCACCACAAATACACAGATAGCCTGTGTGCTCAAACTTACATCCTGAAATTAATATTGTGTGTTTCTACTGGATTGAGTTCTTAATGTACCACAATTTTATCATTACTACTATTAATCAAGTCAATCTTGGTTCATCTGGATTCTGTATTAGGAAAAAAATCTGTCTTTTCTACTCTGCTCTAATTTCTAGTTCTCCTCTGATTTCCTGTCAAAATTTTTCCAACACCCGAAGATATATCCTCTCATTTCATTTCTAAAAAAATTAAAAACCACGCAAAGTTTGGGTAATAAAAAAATATTTAAATTCTCAGCCCTTGCACTGCATAAGTGAAAAAAAGTCAAAGAATGGAAATTTTTCTTAGAACAGCTTCGACTTTTCTATATAGTACATTTAAACAATCTCGAAATTTAAAAGGAAAACAAGAGCCTCATGTTAAAGATCTGCAATGAGATCCAACTAGCATATACAGATACATAAATGCATATGTATTTAATAATAAACACTAAATACTAGCATATATAAATACCTTAAGCTCTTGAATTACATAGGCTTTTTGCATATATTTGCATTTGTATTCTGATCAATACATTAACATAACTTTAATACTGACTTACTTACATTGAAAGTAAGGTATTTTGTGACCACATCTCCTTTCAGAGACATCAGGCCTATATTTTGGTAGAGGGCTATATTTAACTGCTTCATCTTTACATTCTGCTAATACAATCCCATCACTGGTTTTATTTTAAAACATTTAATTAAGACTTAATACATTGAATAATGACTTTCATTACCTAAAGCACTACTCACAAACACTGTTAGCACTGGGACAAACCCCAGTTTAAACAGCGAGCTGCACACATTCTGTATGACAGCACAGTATTGAAAAATGAATACAGATTCGCCCCCCAAAAGTGTATTTGGAGGCAACAATTTGTGTTGTTACCAACAGGTGAATCCAGAGATCCTGGCACTTCATTCAAAAGCAAGTCTCAATAATAAACAGCAGGCAAGTTCCAGCAAAGTAATATGAACCTTACGAACTTTAAGTAAATTCTGGTGTGTGAATTTTCAAGAAACGCTCAAAAATTCATTGTTTTTTTTTTTTTTTTTTAAATTCTATTTAAAACATTCTGTCACAAAGCTGAAGTAAGCTTAGTACCATAACACAGACAGCCACACTGGACTATAATGAAACAGTGGCTGGATATTTGATAGATGAAACAATTCTTGATATTTTTTGAGAGATTATCACACAATGATAATGTGGTAATGACTTCACAACATACAAATATTTATCACTTGTCATTACTAGTTAATCTCCAAAGGATTTTACATTGAAAAGATAAATTATTAAGAAGCATGGCTTAAATATTTATCACCATTTGTTAATAATTACTGTTCAGAAAATCACAGAATTACCCACCCATTTTATTTTGGTAAAAGAAGTTGGGCATTAGGTCCTTGTACTAGTTTTATAGAAGGATACAGTTTGTGCACTTTTGGATTTTTCACAAGTCCCAAAAATAAAAGATTAATAACTGTTCTGACAAAAAGTGTTAATCAATAATTAATAACTCTAAACTATAAAATTCTATATATCTTCTAACTCCAAGATGACTGTTTACAGTGTTTGAACACAGCAAACCTACTAACTGAACACTGAATTTTGGCTCTAAAATGAGTGTACACTCAGACCACTGGAATATAAGATGACCAATAGGACATGAACAAATTTTGGTGCATAGAAATTTGTATCAAGATCACAAGAAAACTGAACACAAATGCAATGTCTTTGTTGGAAAACAGATATCCTAGAAATATAATTAAAGGATTTTCTACAAACTACAATGCCTTCAGTGATGAGAAATCTACA